TGATAGTCATACCAATGCGAATTYGAAATTAAAAGGTCTTACTATTYTTTCRGAAAATAATTCTTAATGGCTAGAACGATTGCGGCTTTCGTGAGGCCTCTGTGTGAAAGAAAAAAAAGAAAAAATGAATTTAACTTAGCTTTCTGAAAAGCGCTCTATCTTAGCCATATTTGAATATAATGAATTGGCTTGCCAGAGAATTCAACAGATATCAAAATATATTAGAGTAGAATTTCCAATCTTAGAAGTGTCACGTTCTAATGGTTTTTGTTCACACTTTTAGTCCTTTCATTGATATAACATTGCTCTTCATTGTTTAGAACAAAACCAATATATGTACATAACGCCTTTAGTTACTTAAGCAAAACRTCAACAATGAAATAAAACTGAACTGCTTGCTGGTGTCTAATGGACTCCGCAAAACTAAATTCTCATAATTGCACACTTCATAATCTGCGATAGCGAATGTGGCAACTAAACTTGAAGCGAAAATCTTTTGTGTACAAACAATTTCAAATTTAATTGGCCTTTTAAACAACTACTTAGAGTGTGTCAGCTCATTTTGCAGCTACGTCGGAAACTTTCACAATTGACTGACACTCTATAAAGCCAACATTTACGCAACGCACACATTCGGTTTAATTAAGTTTGGTGCTTTGCTGAAATTCTCATGCTCCCGGCCGAACGCCTGTGGTCCCGAATAAGCCACAAATACGACACATTGCACACACTTGGCATAATTAATTTCCATTTCTTGCCATTGCACGCCTGACCGAATCGTGATTATGGAAGTTTCGGCTGTAACTGCTGTCATTTGTCATCGCTAATACGTTCTTATGACTTGTCAAAAGAATTCTCCAACTCGCATCTCGTCGGATGACGGCACTCAGGGAGGGAGTCAATAAGATGTCAATTGTGCTCTTCCGTCATGATGTCCGTCAGCTACTGTCCGCTTTCATGGCGAAGCATTGTGTGAAAAGTTGAAGAGCGACAGCTTCGAGTTTTYCTTGAATAACGAATGCAAATAAACTGTAAATTTAAATAATTGTAATTTATTTTTTGGGATTTTCATTAAAGTGCGCAATTGGTCGTATAATAGATGAGGCGTTCGCAGAGGTCAGGCATGCTTGTCGAATGTTTGGGCATTTGCCTTCTGGAAATTGTATTCAACTTAGTGGATAGACCCGTATATAATATATTAATATACTAAGTATAGTATTTTATATAGTACTTATTTATACTTATAGATTAGGGTGGGTCAAAAACCAAATAATTTTTTTTTTCACTTCGTACTCTGAAAAATTTATTGATAGACACCTCTATGAAGGGCTGCTACATAGTCTATGAAAGGAAATATTTTTTGAAGTAGTTCGAAGCGGGGTATAAACTGATAAACATGGAAAACTGTTAAGCGGAGAACCATTTAAGAGATGTCTATTAATGAGATTTTCAGAGTATCAAGCAAAAAAAAAAAAAAACATTTGATTGAAAATATTAAATTTTTTTGACCCACCCTAGTATACAAGTATAAATTGTACATCTATTTATATATGTGTGTGCGTCATTGAATCAGTGTGAACGAGTATATAGAAAACAAAGTTTTTATTTAGCTGAACTCTTAAGGTCAACATTGTTATTATGTACTCCTGGACTTAAGTACTCCCATGACTTTACATAGTTTTGTTTATGAATATACATATAGCATACATATATACTATATAATTTTGTGTGTGTCTGCAGCTAAATCGCTTGAACTAAGTTTGCGTCATGCTCGTGATGGTTAATTATCCGTTATGCGGCGATATAGTGTTTCCCACGAGATGGCTACATTATTGAATTGCAGTTTTCCAACTTTCTATCGCTTCTGTGGGGTGTTAAATTACTATCGCTCTCTTGTGTTGTTTGGCGATTTGGTTATGAAGCACAAAATTTTCGTTTTTGGGCAGAGCAAGTCGATGTACTTATGTAGCTCTGCGTCTTGGTATACATATAAGTGATAGATATTGCTTGCCAATTTATTTCGTATTGTAGTTAAATTGCGTTATTAATTATATAGGCACGTTGGCAGGGGCACTTGTCTATGCTGCTAGGTTATATATGTCTGTGTTAAGTAATTTGATAGCAGACGAACATATCTGCATATATGTAGTGAGTTTATTAACCTTTATGTAGTAATTCTAAGCCTGACATATGGATCTAGCGAATTTATGAAATGGYAGCTCACGGTTTCCTTGAAATAACCCATAAAGTTGTGAGGTTATGATTTCGAAAATATAAATTATCTTGCTTTTCAGTTAAAATATCATTCAGCTCGAYTTACTTCCCTTGTGGGYGAGTAATKGYTACTACAACGAATTATTTTAGTCTTGCAATTCATTTTGATAAATTTCGAGATTCGAAGGAAGTTTTCCTTCCATAAGAGAGAAGAAACCTTGTGTTTGAACTTAAAAATTAGCATAACGGCTTGTAGCAAAAACAAATTKGCACAGACGTTCAATTTCCGCCAACTCCCAGTGATTTGAGTCTTGTCCTCTCAAAAGTAAAATTTCCAGCCTGTCCGATCKTAGGCCAAAAGGCTTTTATGACAGCGCATGTACCGATGTTGGTCCAACGCTGGTCAAGTTCCTGCGGATACCAACTATCTAGTAGTGGAACACAAGAGAATAMGGGAGCACCGACTCGCTACCATTYTACCGATAGCGGTTCTAGGGTACGTTTCCTTGGCAGCTCGTCAGATTTTCACTTTCCTGCGATTCCGCTGTGGCCTGGTACACATACCAGTTTTGTCACAAAGACAACCGATGCTATTAAAAGCGAGGTTAGGCACACCTTGACCAGCCCTGAACACACTGTTTATGAGTTCAAGGCTAGTATCGCTGCTCTGCTATCTGAGTGGATGGTCACTTCTCTGAAGGAGGCTGCACACCGTCACAATAAGTGGCAGCAACCTCGGTTTAGAAAACACTGAAATAGTCTAGAAGTCTAGAGTTGGAGTTGATAAGAGCTCCTGACAGTGAAGTCCTCCCCCAAACCTCSCGCCAAGCTTTGACCCWTCTGTAAAAWAGCTTACTGCAACTCACCTCCAACGGCTTCTTTCCACCCACAACTCCTTCGCCGGTATTTGAGCAGAGAAGAAGCCAAGTTCGGTTTGGCGACTCCATGATCCAAGTGATCCAGTATGAAGTCAAAGTGAGTGAGGATTTCACAAGTTCTTTTAGGAACCCAAATTCTTTGAGTCTGATAGCAACWTTCACAGTCATACACCTTYCGACGATGTCTTCGGGCAATGTGTGTGCCATGGTAAATATATATTGCTCATGTCAATCTATCTCATTCTCTATCTTTGACAGACATTACAAATCAAGAACTCAAAGCGAGTTCGATAAACTCGCTCGAAATTGAATTTGCTGCAGAAAACATGGCATAGGGTGGCCGGAATGCTAACWTTTTGTTCTCTGACAACATCTTCATTGCCAAATCGGAATTCATGATAAGAGTTTCATGAGATGAAGCATGGATATCAATATTAGCTTTATCAAGTAATCAAAATATATAACTACCTAGGTAGACCACGGTGTTTCTTCAAATACATTAAAATATTATTCTCAAATTTAAGGATCTTTTATGCCTTCATGCATATGTGAATGTAATAATGATTTCGCGCATTAAAAATTTAAGCTCCACATCTCCCTGTAGCTTTTCGGCATTAAGGCGCACACGTGCTTAATTCGAAAATGCACAACACCATATTATTGCTGTAATCGATGTTGTCGCCRTTGACATTGTCATAGTTGCTCATGCTAGCAATAATATTTTCTTGGCTACTCAATGAAATTAAGAGTACAACTTGTTAAGCTCGTTATTTGTTTCTGCGTTTTCTTTGCTCACTTGACGCGAACACAATCATAATAAGGCTTATTACATTTTATTACCGGCCAGCGCCGAGCAACGCGCGCACTCAGCTCTTTGCAGGACAATGTTCGAATAATACCACACATATGTAMACACATACACATGTACTTATCCAGGTTTGTGGAGCGTGAAATTCGTTTTGTTCGTACTTGATTATATTTATGTTTTCAACATTATGGAATTCTGTCTGAAACTTCACATCGAGTTTTATTTATTTCTTGTGATTTAATGTGAAACTTACATTAAATCGGGAAGCGGCGAATTTTCCATTGTAATAAAATGGGTAGGAGTTGAAAAAAACAGCTGGGAGTCATGGCAAAAATAAAAGAACTTTTCTCTTAATGTAACTTGAGCCTCGAAATCTAAAAGACACATTTTAGCTCTTCTTAAACTTTTGAGAACACAGTTCCGCTTATTTATATAATGGCTTAACCGTAAATTCTAGCATAAGAGTTGGTGGAAAATTAAAAATGGAAATRGCATTTCAGTGAAGCTTTGAGACGACAGACCATTGCAAGTTATCCGAGGTTGCGTTGTTAAGATTCCTTCGAAAGACATTTTTTTCAGATAAGCAATATACTTCTAAAAGACTTTTGGAATTTTTTATATCAGAAATATACTCGTATTTAGTATATAGGTTTAACATTGTACGACGAAGGATCGTTACCTTAGGAAAAGAAATATAGCGACATCGGGTAATAGCAAAGCTGGTCTCTCCTCTCTTTTCTCATAAATCCCTTTCCAAACATGAGTGTCGAACCACTTCAATGAAAATAAGGACGTCCTTGGTCACAAGTATGASAAGATTAAGAAGATCAGAGAACCTTCTGAGACRGTTGACAGATCTGCAGTCTAACGTYTTTTGCACTGGTCTACTGTCCAATTGATCTTATTTTATTAACAGAAAATTACATTAGTTGACTAGAATATACCGCAGTAGTGATCTCATGTCAGCTCTGCTGGAATATGCCGATTTGTTGGGAATGAGGCCTATTCCTTCATTCTAYCGATTGCGTGGATAATATTTGTATATAAATGTATTTGTATTAATTTAATATTGATTGCTTCTTTTCTATTGTTAATTGCAGTTAGTTGGAGGAAACGGAAACGAGTATCACTTCAAGCACAGGACATTGCCGCACGCTCGCACAAGGCGAAGCATCACACACACGCGACTATTGAAGAGCCATCCATTGGTGAGTAGAAGTTCTTAAACAATTTATATGTACACATGAAGAAACATATTTGGCATATGACTATATAAATTTCATAGGAGGGTGTGAGGTATATTCGTATAAAGTTTATTGCAAAGGCTTTAGGATCTAAATGTAAATGGATCGAGTTGTAAGTTCGTGGCTAGAGGCTGCCGGGTTCGGATATTGAGGGTAACGACATGGATTTTCAAGAATAAATTAAGAACTTTAAAGTTATGAACAAAGTCTTACTAATTTTTGCCCACAGTAGTATACCCGAAAACATAATGAGATCTCAATCAAATTTCCACACTTTTTCATCACGTCTCGTTTGGAAAACATTAATTTAGTCAGCATTGCCAATCGTTTCTATTTGTTCACGTGTGTAGAAGATCCTCAGGCATACTCTACACGTCAGCATTGCCAATCGTTTCTATTTGTTCACGTGTGTAGAAGATCCTCAGGCATACTCTACACTGGGGGCGAAATGCAGACAGTCTGCATGTGGGCATATTTGCATATTTCAGCTCATTTCAATATTCTTGCWTATTAATCAAATTTCATTGAACCACAGGCAATGAAATGACTGGTTGAATTGGATAATATGATTCGAATGCTAGGAAATTGCATTCAGTAGCAGTCCATTGAAGTGAAGGTTTACCTACACGTGGAAACAGCCAGACGTAAATTTAGCTGGGCGACTAGCGAGTAATGCAACGCAAATACAAATGTAAATACCAGATTGCCAGTCGATTAACTCTGCGGTAGTTATACGCCAACACAGCCAAGAATCACGCAACAATCGGTGAATCATCGGAGGAGTAGTATTTGCATTTGCTTCCGGCATGCTCTGCGTGTGGGTGTAGATATGCTCGAAAGGCTTACAGCGAGCTTAATATTTCTGCTTTAGCGAGAGCCAACTTGATGTTTTGTATTTTGGTTATGTTTGATTTTGGATTCGTGATCACGGAGAGAAGTGAAGTTAACAGTTTTGCTTCTCACTCCCATATAGACTCTTAAATATGTGAAGCCGCGTTACTTAATTAATGCTAGCTTAATGATTACATGTTTGCTCAATAAGTGCAGATGTCATAGATAAGACTCCGAAGCTTAAACCGACATTTGCATGTCTAGATGTACGAATAAATACGTGAAACTTTTATTGAGCAGCCTTGACATGTGACAGAATATGATATTTGATGAAATCAGTGCTTTTACATATGTAAATATGTGTGATTAAATGTCTTGCGAGAATTCCTAGAAGCTCTGTGCACTTGCTTACATTGTACAAGTATAAACAACATGCATACAAAGCTCTAAGCGTTCAGTCGGTGTCTACACTAAGTATTTATGTAAACAGTAAGACTTATTGAGCATTGAGAAAAATGAAAGATGGAAGAAGTAGACCACAAAAAGCTTGAGATATTTGAATGGGAGGATATTCGAGGTTAATGTAATTTAAAATTATTATTCTATGAATGTGAAAGTCTATAGAAAAAGCAGATAGGGCACTATCGGCAAATTTAATGTGGACACTGAGATGTTCAGAGAAGTTGAAGATTGTAGGAGAAAACCAATGAAGAAAGAACAAAGTAACAGATTTTTCAATAAGAGCGGTTTGGGATATCAATRAACTTKTTTATTCCTGTGGARCTCGATTTCTTTTGCATGACCACCACAGGCGCGCAAAAGTTCAGACGTTTAACCCAATTATCGACGATTTTCAAGCATAAATCAGSCGATACTGTCCTGTGGGAACCATATATTGTCCAAGTCCATATTATGCAATTCGACCAAAAATATTCGATTATCATTGAGCGGTAGCGATTCCCATCCATAGCAGTGCGCCTCTTGTCTTCATCATCACAGAAGAAGTACGGCCCGATGACGCCTCCGGCCCATAAACCGCACCAAATCGTAATTTKTTTAGGATGCAATGGTTACTCATGGCGTACGTGTGAATTGCCAATTGACCAATAACGCATATTTTACTTATTGATGAAGTCATTCCACCAGAAATAAGTCTAATCGCTGGAGATGATTTTTCGATGAAAATTCGGATCATTTTCAAGTTGTTGCTCACGACGATTCACGAACATACGACGATCGTGGTAGTCAAGGGCTTCAGTTCTTGCGTCAATTTGATCTTGTAAGAGTGTAGGCCAAGATTTTTTCACAAAATTCGCCACAACGTCGTCTCAGAGATGTCTAACACTTGAGGACGCCGTGTGAGAGACTGATTTCAGTCTTCTCAATTGATGTGCTACCGGCAGCAATGTTATCGACATAATGGGCACTTCTTTGTCTCACTGGGATGGGAACATTTTGTACTGTGTCTGTGGATTAAAATTTTTSCACCAGACGYTCAATTGTTGATCTGACAGAACGATTTTGACGATCATAAATGGAACATAGCGCTCTTAAAGTTGAGGTCATTGACACCGAATTTCGGTTGTAAATTTTATTAATTTCGATCCGTTGTTGGATCTTATATCTTTCCATGATGAAATGGCCAATCTTACTGAAGAGAAATGTCAAAAGAGCGTGGAAAACTGTGGCGTCGTTAGCTGTGTCTACCCGTTTACTTTTGTAGCGCCGCTATTGAAAAACCCGTTATATCATATCCCATTAACAGTAGATGGGATCGACCCTATCGAGTTTGCCAATTTAAAATTCATCATAAATGGTTTCGACTTCTTCATCTAGAATACCTTACTTTACTTTTAGATTCACACGGCAGTTCAACAGCCGGGATTCAAGCGTGTCAAACGTGGTCTGCGGCCGGCGATTCCCGCTATTCATGGTCTCCCATTCGAGTCCACCTTTGGTGCAAAACCGATTGGACTTGAACCAAGTGATCCGTATTTCCCCTTGCAATGGTATCTGAAGAATACGGGTCAAAATGGTGGCAAAATGCGTTTGGATCTCAATGTGCAGGCCGCTTGGGATCAAGGTATAACCGGCAAAAATGTTACGACCGCAATAATGGACGACGGTAAGTGTAAGGAATAAAAACGGTTCTTTAACTGCTTGTTATTTCTTTCTTGTAGGTGTGGACTACATGCATCCTGACTTGAAGTTCAACTATGTAAGTATTATAGTATATATATATGATATAATGGGTTGTCTAAAAAGTCTTGCGGTATTTTTTATTTATTTATTTTTTTTATTTTATGACGGTTTGATGACTCATGCCCAGCTCTATACCGATGCTACGGCTGCTACTATGCCGGTCTCCTTCGACCAATTCAGCGATTTTATCGCAATTTTCAACGACAGGCCTTCCTGAGCGTGGCGCATCTGCGACCACCAGAACGAAAACGTTGAAACCATCGCYGTGCGGTGGAAATTTAAAATGTATCGGGTCCATAAACTGCACAAATTTTATTGGCGGCTTGAGATGCATTTTTGCCTTTATCGTAGTAGTACTGTAAAATATATATTTCTCTTTATTTTGCTCCATGTTTGCGACGCTATAACTCACGAACGACTTAAAAGAAACGACAATCAATCAAACACGTGTTAGCGCGTGAAATGAGCTTTCCAAAAGGTATAGCATGACCCGATGCGACGAATAAAACTAGAACTACGCGCTCTCAGCGCCAATTATCGAAAATACCGCAAGACTTTTTTGACAACCTAATAACTAAATTATTTGTTTTTGTAAAAMTATGCCTTATGAAATTGGTGAGCTAGATTGGAGCTAAATCATGAAAGCTTYGTACTACAAACCTAATAGCCACCATTTTTCATTTTTAGAGCGTAAACAAAGCTTGTTCATTGTCCTGTATAGACACAACGTACCTTCAATATTAAGCGAAATTCTTATTTTTGTCGAAAAGCCGACCATTAGCACGCTGGACTCAACGCATCTTCGCCTTTCTTTATTTTTAACTTCTATTACGGTACTTTTTGCACCTTTCATGCTCAAAGTCACTCACACGTACCCACTTTACATACCTAAAAATAATATACATACATATGTACATATACCTATTCTCTATACTTTTTAGGGTAGGAATTTGTGCGAGTCACGCACATCAAGTAGCTGCCTTTTAAATTGTTGTGACAATGAACGTTTGACTGTGTTTACTTAAGAGCTCGTTACAGTTTTGAATGTTTAACCTTTCACCTTTTAGGACAGCCTTCTTGACTGCCTTACTCGAGTGTTTGTTGTTGTCGGCATTAAAATGCAAGCAAATGGCAGTCTACTGCTATATGGCACGTGAGGCCATTTCGTGGGTGTTGCGCAGCCAAAGTACATATTTCTTCATGTTTGTGCTTCATTTTTCACATTAATTACTTGCACGCAACTATTCGCGAAATATTCGTACTAGCGCAATCACGGGAGCTGAGGTTWTGGTCATAGAGCAAGTCTTCGTCGGGATGATTTAAACAAATTATTTAACCAATCGTTACAATTATTTAAAAACTTTGAAAATAGGCGCCTTCTGCTTCGATGCAGCGCTGCTAGCGCGATTTCCAAGCATTGAAGGCGTCACGATCGGTCGTCTCAAAATGCTTGTCTTTCATCGTCCTTTCAGACAAGGAAACAAAAAAGTCCAGGGGCACACATCTGGGCTGTAGAGCGGCTGCGGAAGCGTTGGGTTGCTGGCCTTGCTTAGGTAACTAATCACAAGATAGGCGGTGTTAACCGGAGCGTTGTCGTGGTGCAACTTCCAATCGGCTGTGATGTCTTGTCGGACCTGATTAACCCTTCTCTTAAGTCTCTTGAGGACTTCCATTTAAAATTTGACGTTGACGGTTTGTCCTGGAGGAACAAATTCTTGTTGGGCGATGCCTTTGATGTCAAAAAAGACAATGAGCATCGTTTTCAGTTTGAATTTGCTCAGGCGTGTGCCACTCGTAAGATTAAGATAGCCTCTTTGTCTCGGGATCATGCGCCAAAGATCAGTGACTCGTCAACTGTGATTACTTTGTTCAAAAATTGGGGGTCACTTCCACACATGCTCAAATTTTCTCTGTCGCAGATTTACCGAGTTCCAACAGAATTTAATCGCGTAACTTTGCTCTAACGAATGCTGCATTTTAGGCTTGTGGCACTCACCGAACGTGAGAAGGCTCCAGGTGCTCGGACGACTCGGTCTTTCGTTAGCTTGGAACGCACTCTACCGAATCCAGTCGTGGCGGAAGAATCATAAGCATATTTCTGCTATAATTTATTTTGAAATAAAGTTACAAAAATACCACTTATTTCTCTCCTAAAAAATGTTCTCAATCAAAAAGTTTTTTTGCATATACCCGCTTTTTTTCTTTAATTTTAAAAAGGTGGCAGCCCTACAAGCTTTAACGGAAAGAATTAAATTGGGCCTTCCTTCACTTCTGCGTTATGTATTCCGTAAAGGTGTATATTTTATTACCCTACACAACTTCATTCGTCCTTCGAACGTCATGGTAGCCTTAAGAAAAATCACTTCAAAACATTATAATATTACCATTACGTCACCTAAAATGCAAAATAAGGCGAGGGAAAACGATGTATTATTATAGAAACCGCTCATATAAGAACAAAATTTGAGTTTTGGTTATAAAATGGTTATGTATTGGTTATAAAGTGGTTATCGAGTGATTATTATTCACGCAATTCGAAGGAAATGGTTATAAACTGGTTATTATATCTGACAGCGAATTTCGATTTGGTTATAAWATGGTTATAGATTGGTCATCATACACTCATATTGATACAAAATGTGATTTTTTTATCTGACAACGGAAGCTGAAAATTTTATGCCACTTATATGTAATATATGTAATATGATCTAGTAAATCGTAAACAATAAAATACTCATTTTCGGTTTTTTTTGATGATTTGTAGTTTTGCATTTCAGGTGACTACTAGTTTTTTAACAACCACATCTCATAACTGGTTATAATAATATTTCTTTGTGTTTCTGAGTACATTAGTGTTATTGCCACTGTACCCGAAACTTTTTAAAGCATTTTAACAGTTGGCAAAGTGGGAAAGTCAACCCTTTAGTTTCAGTATCCTATGAGCTTAGACATTTTGTGAGATCAGCAAATTAACGGTATTTAAGGTTGTTTAGCCACAACAAAAAGGTTGCTTGGCAAATGCAAATTCAGTCAACCACATACATTTTTGAGTACCCGCGCGTAAATAAAAGCTCTACAGTTTTACGAGTGATATAAAAAAGAAGGGAGTAATGAAAATTAAAGCGAATCTTATCAGCTTTCAACTTTTTTGTTTTAAATAAAAGTCCAACTTCACTGTCATTTTTCCAGTGCAAATTCAACCGATAATGAAAGTATAATTGAAAAGGCTTTCTGTTCTTCTAGTGTGTTACATTATGCGGCTTGGCATTTTTTGTTTAAAAATTACATTGTATTTGTAAGCATATAAAATATTTAAATCTTTAATCCAAACATTTTTTTATACACAACTTTATGTTTTTGCCTTTCAGAATGCTGAGGCTAGCTACGACTTCAGCAGCAATGATCCCTTCCCCTATCCGCGTTACACCGATGACTGGTTCAATAGGTGAGCTAATCTCTTCGTAAGCCTCATACGAGCTTTTATGTACACAAATAAGCACACAAAAACATGTATATACATACATTATTACTATGATATATTATAACATGAAAGATGGCGCAATGGCATTCAACAGACATGAATACTGCAGACACACATTTTATGTCACTATTATGGCACTCCAATGAGTGTCCACCTGTAAAATATTCATACTTTTAAAATGCGCCCTTGGCGTTTATTTTCTCCTCTTTCGTCAACCACTATTCGGGTATTATCACATTCGTTTAATTTCGTTCTCCCCTTTCCTCCTGTAGTCATGGCACTCGTTGCGCTGGCGAAGTGGCTGCTGCCAGAGATAACGGTATATGTGGCGTTGGCGTGGCTTATGACAGTAAARTTGCAGGTAAGTTTCATCTTTCGGTCACACGTACATATACTTGTATGTGTTTTTTGGCCTTAAGGAAAATGGGTAATGTGTTGCGAAATCGTTTATGCCCTTCATAGATTGCATGTCGTAAAGATTATTAAATAGATTTTATTAYGCATATATTAGGGTGGTTCAAAGAAACGAATATATATTTTTCGTTTGATACTCTGAAAGATAAYTTCTAGGCACCTTTGAGAAAATCTCTTCAAGTATGWGCTTGAACTTCATCGATTTTATAGAAAATTGAATGCGCTTCTCAAAAAAAGGTCTATTACAATATCGGTTGAAGTTTGTCTATTTAAAGGCAAATTTTCTTACAGTTGAGAGAACCTATCTCTCAATATACCAAGCGAARAAATGTTTGTTTTTTTGATTCACCATAATAGTA